AGAAAAGAACCCATTAAACAAGAGAAGTGAACTGTTGGGAAAATGTAGACATAGAGCAAAATACCTTCTGTCTACAACCATTAAACAACCAAACCAGAAGATACCAACGGGCCAGGGATAATGTGAAGACTCTCATGTGTTACTGCAGTTTCCTTAGTTATTTTTTATTATGTAAAGTTTTTGAAATTGTCAATTAATTTCTTGAAAATCCGTAAAAAAAATTTAGAAAATCCATAATATTTGTCGTAAAACATCAGTTAATCCATGTTTATTGACTGATGAGGATCGAGAGATCTGAAACAATTTGTATTAATAAATATGAAAACTGAGAAGCTGTTCTGATTATTGCTTTATAGTATACACCTATATAGGTATATACATTATTTATATTTATCATATTTTTCTTATGAACAAAACTTGTTCATCTTCTTATTTTTAGCCTATAATCAATAACGAACATTTACACTGTAGCTTTCTCAAAAAAATTATTCTGAAAAAAAACGAATTGTCCCATAATCCATAAATTGAATCAGTATCATATTTTAATATTCCCATATTCAAATCTATTATCATATCTCATATTTTAATAAGAAAAAGGCTTCTCAGGCACAATTTTGTTCTTGTCTAAAAATTATAAAAAAAAAACTTTATGATTCGTTAAAATTCTTAAAGTCATTAACACTAGGGATTAACATGTTAATATACTTTGTTGACTGAGATTTCTTACATTATCCAATACGGTTTCTCAGACATGTCGATTGGCTTTATATTAGTCAACATATAGCTTTTCTAAGCGTTAACATTCTTAGAAAAGGGGTATTTTTTTGAAATAGCATTAGTTTTCTTAAATATGTAAGTTTATTAGACATGTACCAATGAGTTATTTTTTCTAATTCTTTATTTATTGTGTCTGCTAGAGTATTCAAGTTTTTACATTTTGATGCCACATTTGTGTCGTCGGCAAAGGCTAAACTGAAAAGATTGTTAGATTGACAGAAGTCATTTACATAGATAATAAACAGTAAACAGCATAGACTTGATCCTTGAACAAGACCCATCTCTAATATTTCAAATAAGTCTGAGAACGTACCATTTATATCGACTGTTTGTTCCTTGCTGCTTAAGTAATGTGTTGCCCCTTATTCCTGCGTTTTTAAGCTTTTTCAGAAGTATCTTTGTTAACCATTAATCTTAAAACCTCTGAGAAATGTTGTCTTCAACTTAAAATCTCCTCTCGGAGACAAACCAAACCAAATAATGTCAGCCCGCATTCCCTTTGTTCTCCGCACACGGAGCTTTAAAACATTTTCATTAAAGTTAAGCAAGAATATTTTCATATGAAGAATTAGTGAATTTCGTTAAATATTCAACTGTAATTTTTTTTTCAGAAGTTTAAAAACGTATTTCAATACTGATCAACAATAAGTTTCCCTGTACCATGCCAAAATAGATCGTAAGATTTTTTCTATTATTAATATTTATTATAACATTGTACAAGTAACCATGATCTATAATTTATGTTATTTTTTAGGAAATAAAGCTTTTGTTATCGATTTTCTTGAGACTGGGTTACTCTGCTGTGTGTATATTTGCGGCCGAACGGAAAGGAATTATCCGGACTGAATTTATTTCCCTCCCGGAGTTCTGACGGGCCTTTTAATCCAAATTCATCTAGCGTGTCACTGTTATCTGTCAACAATCTTGTAATCAATATAGAAATATCTAGCCTGACAAGTAAAACAGATTAATTATATTATAGGTTTACACTATCAGATTGCAAATATATAGGAATTCTAAAATTTAAGTTTATTGCAGAGACTCAATTATAAGATTGTGCATGTAGTTGGTATGTTTTTACCTATGTTTTATTTCACTGTCAAAATTCCTATAGCTTTGCAACCTGATGGAGTAAACCTATGATATTTTAAACTTTGATTACTTGATCTAACAGAATTTATACTTTTATAATATATTATAATATAAAAATATATAATATTATAATTATCATTATGCAATTCACAATTCATTAAATTTTTGAATTTTGACTCGGTTACAATTCTGTTTAAAATAGTTCAAAATTTCATCATTGTAAGCTCTATGTTTGGAATTTATTAAGGAAATGATAAAAAGGAAACAATGGATATTTTAAATTCTTTAGTTTATCTTAATGAAAAAAAAATCTTTTATAAAATATGTAATCAGCTGTTTTATTAATGCTTTTTGTTTAAAATATATTGTGAACCGATCAAAAGGAATATTGCTCGAAATGGGCGAATAGGGGTAGTTGCCCCGAATGGGTAGGTTGATTAAGGGTCTGGCCCTGGTAGGGGTAATTGCCCCGAATAGGTAGGTTGATTAAGGGTCTGACCCTGGTTAAAACACTCTACTCTTCATGCACGCATAGACAATAACTTCTTGTTGAAAATATATCTGGTAGGGGTAGTTGCCCCGAATAGGTAGGTTGATTAAGGGTCTGGCCCTGGTTAAAACACTCTACTCTTCATGCATACATAGATGAGAACTTCTTCTTGAAAAAAATATATTTCAGTAACGAGGTTTCCTACAAAAAATACAAATTGTTATTGACGTATATGTATACAAATAATGATTGTTAATAAATATTAAACCAGTTGGGTGTAACTAAATACATGAATATTGTTGTAAACGAACAATTGGTTAAAGAAATATGTATCATTGAGAATTGAACCAAGGCTTAAAGGTCCTGTTGTAAATTGGCAAATAAAGGTTTAAAAGGTACTGTTGTGAATTAAACAGAAGGAACTTACGACGATCTAAAACAATATAGCACGGGAATAGTTGTTTGAATTGTAGTCTAAAGCAATCTTAATTCTTCTGAAATAAATATTCATTTGGTTGAAGTAATTTCACTGTTTATTCGTAAATGATTCACTGAAATTATGTTTAAATTGGTTCTTTTAATGCACTTTAAAGTTTTATTACCTCCATGAGGCGTTTGTTTGCTTTTACGCGGAGATCTTGAAATGTTTGGTTTGGAAAGTGGACGTCGAACCCTCCGTTCGACGGAGGTACAATTTGTCAAAGAAGACCTTACAACAGAGTAGATTATGGGGTATGGTTCACAAATAGAGATGGTTGAACTAAACATAATCCCCTGAATTTATTACAAGATAAATACAGATCAATATGGTAATCCATGGAATGTCACTTAAAATTATGTATTTATGTATACGATAAAGGAAGTTTTTCTTGAATACACACTTAGGGTTTAAAGATTTTGCACATTTAAAAATTGCTGGGTTTTTAATAAACGTACAGTTTTCCATAATTCGAGCAATTTCTGATTTTGCAAACTGTTTTCACAGATTATTGAAGTAGAGACCAAAATAAGTATAGTACAGTAAAAAATTATTTATTAATGAAAAAAAAAACATTCAAAATAAAGTGTCAAAGGAGAAAATATTTACAAACCTCTAAAAGTAGAGGTTGTGGGAGTGTTTCCCCCCAATTCTAAAAAAAATAGAAAAATAGAAATAAAAGGAAAAGGAAAGGATAAGGAAAGTTACATATCTATTGTTTACACTATATTTAATATAAATTGGTGGTGGATTGTTAGCATTTTTCGACGAAGAACTAACATCTTTTGGAAATAAAAATTATAGATTTATTTTTAATGTTAAAAAAAGTAAAAAAAAGCTTTATGGAGTGTGAAAGAGATATAGGTTCTATGAAAAACGGGCATTTTTAAGCATCTTTTTAATTCGCGCTGATTTTTGACATCCTTTATGTTTGTTATATCTTTTACTCTTTTTAATCTTTTTATTCTTTTCTTTGTAAAGTCGTCTTTGCTTTCTTCGATTCTTTTGCAAACACAGCATGTGTTAGAATTAAAACATTTGTTCTGCTGATAAAAATCTTCTATTAAATTCTGTTTAAAATTTGCTTAATATCTGTTTAAATTTGCTTGATATCTTAATATAGCATCGACCCATTTATAGACCAAGTCTTAAATCAACAATATTCTTTATTTATTATTTACTTAATATTTGTCTTACCTTGGTTTTACATTATTTTAACACAATTTTGCCATGTCTCTTTATAAAGACCTTGTGGCGTTATATTAGTTGCTGAGAATGTTAGAGTTGCCCTTTGCTCAAATTGACTTTTAGCGTATTTTCATTTGACCCTGTATGACCCACTAAAGTTTCAGTATAAGTAAATATTTCCATTTACTGTTATAGCGCCGATATAAGGATTTATCTTTAATTGGATGATGAGCTAGATAGAAAGATTGATGTTACCGCCATACTATTTCTATTGGTTCAGAATAGACAACAAACACATGGCTGAACCCTGATTGGATCCGGCGCTAATGGACTCGGCATACTAGAGTGGACCCGGTATCCATAAAAGCTTTGTCTGAAGACGTGATTCTTATCTCTAAATGGAGAGTCGCGACTCCCCAGAAACTACAGTTTAATATTTGGGTGTCCTACACCTTTACTGAATCTACTAAACCAGGATTTTTAATACCAAAAAAAGTTTTATAAGATTGAATAGTTTTAAAATAATGGCAAAGGGCGATAATTAAAAAAGATATATATGCAGATAGTAGTGCGTTAATACACATTTTCTGGTATTCTAAAGACATCAGGATAAACAGAGCACGTATTGTATTTTTTCAAAAAAGCCCTTGATTTTATAGAACCTTGTATTTTCTGCATACAAACTGTTTTATTAGCCTTTTAAATTTATTTCGAATGATTTAAACTTTTTAAATATTCTACGTAAAAACTTATTAACATTTTGAAGACTGAAGAATTAACAATTTCATGATTTTATTCAGAGAATTCAAATCTCTTGCACACAAAAAAGACACATTAAGGGGTATTTTGATTGCTGTTTCATAAAAAAAATTTCTAAAATGAATTTTATTTTGCATGTTTTACATTGTACAATGTGCTTTATATTCATTGGACAGCGAACTATGAAAACCTGTTCTACATTTTTATGGAGAAAAAACTTTTATTTTTTTTCAGAAATAATGAAACCTTTAATTATCTTCTTTTGCCTAGTTTTCAGCAGTTTAGCAGAGGAAGGTAAGGTTTACATTATTCTACAATGGTCGTCGTTTATATCAGTACAATGAATACGACATTTCTATTTTAATTTCTAAAAACAAAGAGAGTAAACAAAGAGCAGCTGTTAATGGACAGCCTCTTTTTGCTTACATGTTGTATATATCAATGCTATTTGAAAGCTTAGTGGAAATAAAACATTGACATAAAAGTCGTCTTCATTGTATTTTAATTTCCGACGACGACTGTAGCACAATGCCTCGCCGTCTTTACGGCGAAAACGTTGGGATTCAGACAAAGACGACATTCACAAGTATTACTGACGAATGATGTTCAATGATGTTATGAATGGGATTATGGGACTTTACTTAATCTTTTTTTATGATAATTTTAAAACCACTTAACTTTTACAAATTGTTCATTAAATGAATTAAATATTCACTATTTATTTAATGTTTTTATATTTAAGGTGGAGTGGTTGTTAAAACAGGCTTTGGTCTTATAAATGGAAAAATACAATCTAGGTATTATTATTATCACAATAATAATAATGATAATAATAATAGTAATAACTGGCTGAAGGGCCCGGCGTTGCCCTTGAAAAAGAAATAAAAAAATGTTGAAAAAAAAATGAAGAAAAAAAATTCGATTTTTTAGCCTTTGTCACCCCCAGGCTACCTATGAGTGTCCACAACAAATTTCAGCCCATTCGGTCCAGCCGTTTTGACGGCTAACATAGTCTTGTTTTATTATATAGATAATAATAATAATAATGATGATGATAATAATAATAAAAATAACAAAAATGATAATGATAATGATAATAATATTAAAAAAGATAAAAATGATAATGATAATGATAATAATGATAATAATAATTATAATAAAAAAATAACAATAATGATAATAATAATAATAATAATAATAATAATAATAATAATAATAAAAATATAAAATAATAATGATACTAATGTCTAATAATAACAATAAAAATGAAACGATTTTTATAAAATTTAGAAAAATGAATTAAATATTTTGTGTAGTGAGCCTAACAACCGAAAATATGGTAGTTTTCTTGGAATCCCCTACGCTAAACCTCCAATAGGACCACTAAGGTAAGGTCATAAAATAATACAGGGGATGTTTTGCAGGCCAAATCAGTCATTCAAGCTAGAGCTAGGGTCCTTTAATCTTGAAAGACGATTTTGCGATCATCTTCAATCTTTGACTGAAACTTTTTGTCTATGTGGTGTACTTCCGAAAAAAGCAATTTTAAAATATCTAAGGTCAATGACGACCTTCAAGTCGTCTCTCTATTGTCAAATTATGCTGGAAATCCTGATTTTTTCTTATTTTAAGCCTTCTCCTAACTTACTTTTAAAACTTTATAGCCAAAACCGTTGCTAATCATTGGAACTTTGAGCATTGATCAAAATTTGACTTTCCACATTCATCATCGTATATATTAATACAATGAAGACGACTTTTAATTTAATTTTTATTTCTTCCCAGCTTAACTTTAATATAAAAGTCGTCTTCATTGTATTGATATTAACGCCGGTTTCTGTGTTAATCCCTATATCTTTGAAATCTAATATGAACCTTTGATATTATATGTTGATGTAACAGAGTTTAATTTAAAGTTAGAAATATCAAAAATAGATTATATCATTTACTGCAGTAATGATTATGAAAGATATTAAAAAACATTGGCACAATAAATATATGTAAACAACTTAAACAGGAGAACTTAGATATCTTACAGCTGATTTTACAAAGCCTGCACCTAAAGATTTGTTCAGGAGATGGCACCTCATAAGTAATTAAACGTTAAATTATAAAAAGAGTAGAAATAACATCATTTTTTTCGTAGATTTTGTAGATTTCGTAGATTTGTACGTTTACTTTGCAGATTTCTTCCAGCTGAACCGATAAACCATTTCTACGGTCCCCATGCCCCCCTCCAGGCTACAGAATATAAAGGGGATTGTGCACAACTAGAGATAGGGTCAGGCAAATATAAGGTAGGAAATGTCGTCTTCTATGAGTTTGAATCCAGGTAGATACAGAGCGGCGTCCCATATTATTTTGGATTATCTCCAAGCTTTAACCTCAAAATACACACATAATACTCGAAAAACCTAGTAATTTCTGCATAAATTTTTTTCTTTTAGCCTTATACAATTATTCAAAATGATTCATTCTTCTAAAAAAATTTATTAGAACCGAAAAAAGTATTTTTAAGCCATTACTGATCCAATATGATGCGAGACACCCTGTATACTGTACAATGAACATTAAACTTTTATTTTGATTTATTTTAGACTTTTTATTAATAATTTTTTACACGTTTCTTAAAGCATTTATGTAAAATTAAGGGTTCAGCTTAAAATTAGAGTCTTTACTACAATTTTTTTTGATAATTTTAACAGTTATTACTCACAAAAAAAGTTGTAATTAATTAATAATTGTGATTAACTTTTACATATCGTAGAAAATGTCGTCTTATGTGAATGAATGAATCCAGGAAACATTTTGTAAACCATTTAACTGAATTTTACCCCTTTATTTATTAAGTTTTTACTTTTTATAAATTTTGTTTAAATCGAAGAATTTATTACAATTAAAGATTTGAGCCAAGCCAATAAAACAGCGTTTACAAAATCATTTGATTTAATGATTTTAATAGTTAAGTTTCTCTCTAAAAAAGTTGTAATTAATTAATAAATGTAATTAAATTAACTATTGTTGAATATCAAAAGTCAAGAGCAGTTTTCCAAAACATTCAATTTCAGTTTAATGAATATTTAAAAATAATATGACAACATTTTAAAGGATAAGTAAGATTATAAGTAAACCATAAAGGAATTGAATCTTTGTCACAAACTCTTATTTTCTAATTCCTATATCTGTGTAACCTTCGATATGTCAAACTTTGATTATTTGATCCAACGGAATTCTTAGTTTGAAATATCTAAGGTTTATGACATTGGGTTGCAAAGATTTAGAGATTAGAAAATCAGAGTTTGCGGCAAAGCTCATGAAATTGTTTATTTATTCAGGGGAGTGAGGATTGTCTCTACTTGAACGTATTCACGCCTGATATTCACTTTACAGGGGAGAATAATCTTCCTGTCCTGGTAAATATACAAAATATATATAGAATATATATAATATATAATATATATAGAATATATAATATATAGAGAATATATTAACCCCTGATATTCACTTTACAGGGGAGAATAATCTTCCTGTCCTGGTAAATATACAAAATATATATAGAATATATATAATATATAATATATATAGAATATATAATATATAGAGAATATATTAACCCCTGATATTCACTTTACAGGGGAGAATAATCTTCCTGGTAAATATACACAATATTAAGAACATAAAATATATATGGAACACTAGCTGAAGTGTCAGGCGTTGCCCGTGGAATTTTAAAAATTTCAAGAAAAAAATTTGAATTTATTCTTTCGCAAAGAAACAGCCAATGAAAATTGATAGTTTAAAGAAACAAAAAACGCTCAGACAAAGCTTTCAGTGGGGTACTGTTGTAAATTGGGGCATTGCCATCTTTGCTTGGAGGGTTCCTTGAAATTACGTTTAAGTCTCTTAAAATTTTAACGTACGATCTATGTTTCATTATAGTAAAATATCTTAAAAGTCAAAATTTGCCAATACAATAAAATTTCCACTTTTAATTTTTAACAAAATGCGTATATCTACTGAAATTGCACATGCTTATTGCACTTGTAAATATAAAAATAATCTTTGCATATTGATACAAATAAAACAAGTTATTTAAACTAGCTTGGGAAACCAGCTTTGTCTGTAAAATATAAACATACTAGCCTTTTAGGGCGCTTCCCGCCCATCTTCTATTTTGATTGTGAGCATGTTCTCTTTGTGTACATTGTAAAACAAAACAAAAAAGTTAGCGGATTTTAACAAAAAATTTCGTGGATTTTCAAAATTTTCAAAATCGATTTTTGATGGAGACAAATATTTGAAATTTCAATCATTCATAAACCTTCCCTGAGGTCACGTCCCACACAAATTTTGGGCACGATCGGTTCAGCCGTTTTGACGTTTATTGGACACAAACAAACAAACAGACAGACAAACTAAATTTATTTATAGATTCACAAACTAAGCTAAAACCTATCCAAAAACATTTTCGTTGTTATACTGAGTTAGCTCCACTGAAGATTTGTGACAAATCAGTCTAAAGGTTCCTGAAGTATGATTGGACATATTAAAACACAAACAAACAGATACAAACAATAATACTTTTTTGAAAATAATGAAAAAATACAAAATAAAAATATGTATTTCTAGGTTTGGATTCATGGTGGGGGCTTTTTAATTGGTGGATCAGGTAGATTTTTATTTTTTATTTTTTTAAATGAAGATATACGTAATTTTCTAATATTAATCTTTTCAAGAGAGAAGTTTTATTTTAAACTATTAAAGGTTAACAACATCGAGTGTAAAAGATCAAGTTCAAAAGTTGTATGATCATGCAGATCTAGTAGTACAAGGATGTTTGTCTTGTCTTTACCATTATTATCAAATATTTTTGTCGGGTTTCTATTCCATCGCCATTATTGTTAGATTATCAAACAGTTTTGGTTCTTTTTCCTGCTTTTTTTTACAGTTTAATTGTTTCAGATCCAGGTTTCTATGGACCTGATCGTTGGCTGGATCATGATATTGTTCTTGTAACGTTCAACTATAGGCTCGGAGCACTTGGGTTTCTAAGGTGAAATTTTACATGATAACAGAGATTTAAACAGGAGAACTTAGATATCTTACAGCTGATTTTACAAAGCCTGCACCTAAAGATTTGTTCAGGAGATGGCACCTCACCTACCCTTCGTCAATTTCGGGCTCTGGACTTTATTTGATTTGCTTAATAAAATCTATTTAATAAAATCTTTTCAACTTCTAATAAGATTTAATCCTTATAAGCTAAAAATAAGAACAATATTTTTTTCTTGAGATATATGAAGAAGATGTTTTTTTTAATTAATTCAGAACTAATTTCTTTTCACGTGTAATAAGGCATTCTCTATACTCTGTATAAAAAGCTCAAGAAATAAAATTCACAAGAAGTCCTAAAAAATCTTTTTAATTTCTATGTATATATGTATTTCCTCCTTTTAAAATATTCATCTTAGAAATAGTACTAGTGTCTACTGAGTACTGTCTAGTAGACAGTTCACAGACTCACAGTTGACACTGACAGTAGTATACTTACTACTCAGTACTCAGTTGCTATGTGATCCGATTGGAAACCACATGTGTGAACTAATGAGCATATTCTCAAACACTTATATATACAGTACAAAGCGGCCCATATCATATTGGATTATCTCCAAGCTTAACGCAAAAATATGCTCATAAATACGCGATACACCTAATATTTTCTGAAAAAAAAAAAATTATTTTAGCCTATTACAATTTTTCTAAATGATTCTTTATCATGTGGCCGCAGCGCCCGGCCACCTAGCCTGACCTATCCAGTATCCTCGGCGCTCGGCCCCCAGCCTGTCCTAGCCGCAGTGCTTGGCCCCCCTAGCTTGTCTTAACCTAACCTGAACCTAAAATAATAAAAAGAAGTAATAATAATTTTGCTAAAAAAAGTTCTAGCGCCTCTGCTGGGGAACAGTGCATTAAAAGATACTAGCGCCTCTGCTGGGGAACATTACATTTAAAGATACTAGCGCCTCTGCTGGGGAACAGTGCATTAAAAGATACTAGCGCCTCTGCTGGGGAACAGTGCATTAAAAGATACTAGCGCCTCTGCTGGGGAACATAACATTAAAAGATACAAGCGCCTCTGCTGGGGAACAGTGCATTAGAAGATACTAGCGCCTCTGTTGGGGAATAGTGTATAAAAAAGATACTAGCGCCTTTTCTGGGGAACAGTGCATTAGAAGATACTAGCGCCTTTTAACTTTATTGCATGATGATTACTTTATAGCACGATGCTATAAATCAGAGCTAATTTAACATTTAGGCTTAGCACGTCTAATAAAATTCACCTTGAAGTGAGTATGAATGATAAAGTACACAATAAATACATAAAAATGTACATTACACATGCAGTACTGGAGATGGTGTAGCTCCACCAAATAATGGATTGTCTGACCAGCAGCTAGTCCTAGCCTGGGTCAAAGAAAATATTCAGGTAATGTATATTACAGGGTTAAATATTTTCCATAAAAAATATTTTCCACTCATGAAAAAAAAATCATGACAATTTTTTGGGGTGGATTTGAGTGATGTTGTGGGTAAATAAATAGATTTTAACGGTAAAAGTAATTTTTAAATCTTACAATAAAAAAAAATTTAAATACAATGTTGTGAAATTCATAATCAAGATAGATAAAAGAGAGGTTAAATTTTAAAAAAGTAAGTTATCAAATGAACAAGTTTTGCCGTTTTTTTTACCCCAAGGTTTTAAATTCAAAAAAGGCAACTCATCAGTCTCTGTTAAAGTGATGTTTCATGTTTAGGCTTTTGGAGGAAACCCCAGCCAAGTTACTATTTTCGGAGAATCTGCAGGTGAGAATTTTGGTTTTGGGATGAACTGAATTTAAAGTGCTTAGATTTGCAAGACAAATTGCTTCATTTGAAAATAAAATATTAAGAACATTTTATTATTGAAATGATTAGATTCGTAATTAAAATATACAAATTTAGTAGTACCCAACTTGGGAAATTGAGGTAATTTTGTCCAAAAGCTAAAACCCCCAAACAAAAAATAAATACCCAAACATATATCTTATTGAACACTATCTTTTTTTAGGAGGAACAAGCGTAATGGCCCATATGTCTTCTCCTAGGAAAGTTAATATTTTTTATCTGAAAAATTTGAAATGTTTTAAAACCTTTAAAGAAAATTTAAATTTTTTCTTTTTCTATAAAAAGTTTCTTCTTCAGATCCCGTGGTTTGTTTAATCAGGGTATTGCAATGAGTGGAACATTTGGGTTTATGAACCCTTTAATACATTCATCTAGACCTATTCAACATTATACAAGGTATATATATACTTGTAAACAGTCCCTTTAATTAATATATATAGACCTATTCAACATTATACTAGGTATATATACTTGTTAACAGTCCCTTTAATACATTCATCTAGACCTATTCAACATTATACTAGGTATATATTCTCGTCCTTTAAAGTCCTATCTTAAAGGGACTTGAAGGGACTTAAAGAGACTTAAAGGGGTTGAAATGATCTTAAAGGGACTTGACGGAACTTAAAGGGACTTAATTGGAACTTAAAAGGACTTAAAGGGACTTAGAGGGACTTAAAGGGACTTGAAGGGACTTGAAGGGACTTAAAGGGACTTAAAGGGACTTGAAGGGACTTAAAGGGACTTAAAGGGACTTAAAGGGACTAAAAGGGACTGTAAATGTAACTTTTAAGTGATTCTCCTTTAAAAAACAGTGTCTTTTAAAAAGCTATTTGAGTAACAATGACTAGGATATTTTAAAAGTATTGATTTCTGTTAACTTAGTTAATACAGGGTTACTTAAAACCACATACAGTGGTCAGCGTTTATAGCAAAACAATAAAGACGACTTTTCCATTAAGGTTTTGTTTGCTAACAAGTTTTTACAGCTTCTCTTTTTACAAGTTTTTTGTTATGATCTGAGAATTACTTATAAAAACATTTATTCCTGTTTCGAGGATTTTTTGTAATGAAGACGACATTTTCATATTTTCCAGGAATGTTCGAAAACAAGTTGCAAGCTAAATACTATTTTAAAAAATAAAATCAAAACATATTATGAAAAATCAACTATATAAAAATGTGGCGAAAGATAATCGATGACCATAGGTTGTAATATCTGAATGGTTTGTTTGAAATTAAATAGATTTTTTTACGGTCTAAGTCGTATGTTGCATCTTTCTGAATTTGTATGGATACTTCTTTCTTCGGTATTAGTCGTTTTTAACAATTTTCTCCTTATAGACGCAACAGATAAAAGTAAGATTAGTAGCGATCAAAAGCGCTTTTTTATCGCATTAAGCCTATACCCCCTTTCATTTTTCGCAAACACTCCCTTTAAATTTACAAATAAAACAAGTTTAATTTTTTATTTTGTTTAAATTGATTAAAAGGATGAGACTTCAGAGACGACTGTACAGAATTTATACTATCTGTTTCCTTGTTTCTTTCTTTTCCTTATCAGTGAATAAGCCATAAAATGATTATGATCAAGGCAGAAAACTTAAATTAACTTTGGCATCATCAAACTTAAAGAGTTTCAGGTCGTCTTTACAGTCTTATTCTTTGTGGGTAACCCTGTACAGTGTACATTCATTACAGCTGTATTTACGGCACACGTGACAATTTCCATTTTCAGTGTCAGACAAAATATTTACTGATAATTATAAAGTACGTTTAAATGTTCTTCAATTTTTTTTTATAGAAACTGCTTTCTTTAGTGTGATCTCCTTTCTTTAGTGTGATTGGAAAATAAATTTGTTTTTATTTAGCATTATGGCTGCCGAGCTGAGCTGTGACATCACTGGTTCTGCTCAGAGCACTGTTTCTTGTCTTAGAAATAAAACTGCCGAAGATATTATTAGGTAGTATAAAGAGTTTTGTTATAATTTCAAAAATTAAATTTATAACATTTTAGAAAGGAATATGTTTTACAACAAACTGAATTTGTGTCATCCCTATATCTTTGCAACCCCATGTCGTAGACTTTTATTTCTACCTATGAAATCTGTTAGATTAAAAAGTCAAAGTTTTTTAATGTCAAAGGTTTACACCATCAGGGTGCAAAGATATAGAAATAAGACAATTTAAGTTTGTGGCAAAAACTCAATTTCTTTTTTACCTGCAGGCGTTAGGAAATTTGGGACAAAACATAACATCATCTTCAGGATTTTTGCAAGGGGGGTGCCCGGGGTTGGTGGTGGGGCTAATAATACTTCTTGTAAAATCCCGTGTAAAGCGTTAAATAACTACAAAATGTACTTGAAATCTTTTACTCAAATAATCCCAATTCAATAAAATAAAAAAATAATATGTTTATGTTTAAATCTCATGTATAATAACTCTAAGAAACTTAAAGAAGAAAATATAGATTTTCCCAATCAAGGAACTATATAAAGGAACGCCCAACTCAGATATACGCAAATTGTGTACTGTACTCTGTGGGAGGAATGTAAATAAACCCAGTGCCTCCACAGAAGTTGAAGGGAAAGGACTAAAGCTCTGATGTGATATTACAGTCCAACAAAAAACGTGTTGATATATCAAGTTAGCTGATTTTTGGATTTCTGGTCAATATGGAAAATGCAATAGCAAAATATTATTATTCCACCCATTGGGCCCTTTTCCCTCAAAAATGATGCGCTGCCCCTGAATTCTTTGTTTTGATCTCCTCCCACTGTAGTACATAGATTTGACGCATCAGATATGGCGGTTCCTGGTCTATATATTTCTTGCTCTCAATCAATTATTTAATTCAGTATTAGACCAACAGAAAACTATTTTATTTCTAGAAAAGCGAATTTGTTTGTGAGATATAATTTCTTGAACAACCCATTTAAACCTGTTGTTGATGCTGATCTACCCGATCCAGTTCTACCTCACCCTCTTCATGATCCTTGTATATCTATAATACTGCAGAACGCACCAAAAGCTTAGTTGAGAAATTTAGAAAACTGGAAATTCAAGTTTTTCAAAAATGTGTACCTATCTACCAATATATCAATATAATATAATAGATGGACGAGTTTATCGGATAGTTTAAATCTAAAATTTTAAATTAAATTAAATTAAAATAAAGTATAACCGAAATTTTTTTATCTAATATCCGTAATAAATGTACATATACAATGAGACCATAAAACAATAAGAAGACGACATCTCTACAATCCCATGTTCATACTTTACAGTGTTTACAGATGTTACAAGTGTTACAGTTGTTACGAAGCAAATAGGTTTACCTGTAGTTTACAAATCAACTTATTAACCCTATTCTCCTCTCTACAGATCCAGACCTTGCTGAAAAGTATTATTATTATCAGTGTTATCATTTATGTTATTATCAATGTTAAAATTTAAATTATTATTACTATTATTATTATTATTATTATTATTATTATTATTATTATTATTATCATTATTACTATTATTTTTGATATTACTAGAGATGAGGCTGAAACTGCTACAGCTCAAGTTCTGAAAAAGAAATATCTAAAAGATCAGGGTTTCCATCAGGTAGTATCCTACAGGGTTGGTTAAACACATAATATCTGCCTGGAACAATTACAGTGCCACCAATTGAACTTGAGATTAGAAAGATAGGAAGACGACTTTTAGAGTTAAGTTATGATTGTGATGTTTAATTAAACATTAAACACAGAAAATGTGCAGTGTGTCCGCAGACCCATTTCCCTTAAAAGTTTGATTATCAAACTAATGGTAATCATCAAATAAGATTTATTAAAGGGAGTGTTCGCGAAAAATGAAAGGGGGTATAGGCTTACGAGGAAACCTAAGCTTATTTTTCGCGGTAAGCCTATACCCCCTTTCATTTTTCGCGAACACTCCCTTGAAATGTCGTCTTTTTATTCCACAATTTAATTGGTCCCAAAGTAACTGTAAATTTAAAAACTTGTTTCTAAATGTCGTCTTATTTTATTTAGGGAACAGTTGCTGAACGAATTAACATGCTCACTGACGTTCACTTCCTTGCATCAATAGATCAGGCGAGTTTTTTAAATAATAAATTTTATCAATGATTTTACTGTACAGTACACATTTTAAGTGAATGTAGGAATGCTGATAAATATATTAAATAATAATGATAATCAAAAGACAGTGGAATTATCTTCTTTTTTGATGTTTTCGAAAAAATTCAAATCTGTACAAAATTCTTATTATCTCTGGTAATGTTGAAAGTAGGAAAAAGAGCTGACACTATTTTGGAAATACCAGGATTAGGATACATATATATCACTGTAATTTCTGGCTTATTTGCAGAACCAGAAGAACTTAAAGGAAGCTCAGGTTGTACACTTTACAGTGCACACTTTGAGTGAATGTATGAATGCTGATAAATATTTCAAAAATCAAAGACGAATTTCAAGTCGTTTCGATCAACTGTTATTTTCGTGAGACCCTTTGTATTACAAGCATCTGAAGAGTTGATGATTTATACACAATGAAAATATCAAATATATGTTATAAATAACAAGATAAAACAAATTTGGGTAAAATTGCAGAATTCAATCTTTTAAAATGTTTCCAGGAGGAATTTCTTGACTTTTTTATTTGTCTTAAAAAACTTTCATATCATTTTATTTGTTGGACATAACTTTTTAGTACTATAAATTGATACAAAATTCACCTGTATTGACTAATATTTTCCTTTATAATTTCAAATTCTGCGTTCTTGGCCAATCATGATAATACCATAGGGATTGAAGATATATTTGTTATTTAATGATGGATTTATTAAATGAAACCAAAATTGTCTAATTCTGAACGGAACCAGATCATTTCTATCTCCGGTTATTATGAAAGAAAAGGGAGGCGGGCCACATTTTGGAAATGCCGAGACTAGATTTATTTGCAACGAGGTTATGGTATAGTTATTTGTGATTATTGAAGTTGTATCCTGCTCGCGCATAGGAGAAGTCCTCCCAAGTTCCTTCTCCGTGAAACGGAGCCGAGAGCAGACATGAGAGAAGTCCCAGGATTGAGAGTTATAGTTTAAGCGCTGAGTGGAATGCGCAATTGATCCCTGCAGACAAGAAAAAGGAATAAAGGAAATACATTGTGAAACTCCATCTTCAGCTTTTCTCTAGCATACATCCCAGCTGAAAGAAAGGAATATAGAAACTCAAAAATCAGGGATGAATACCAGTTTTTTACTTATCCTGCTCTTAAACATGGAATTGGAACTTATCCTACTCTTAAACATGGAATTGGAACTTATCCTGCTCTTAAACATGGAACTGGAACTTATCCTGCTCTTAAAAATGGATTGCTACAGAAGATCTTATCCAGATTTGGGTATAAAAAGGATATTTTTGTACTCGTCATATGCATAATGTGGTGCAAAACAATATGAGTTCATCAATGATAAACTTAAGTCAGAAATGACTATAAAGTAAGTAACAAGTAGGCTTTCTTTCAGCAATGAAAAATGCCTCAATTCGCCTCTTCCTTTCCTATTCCAAACTTCCAACTCCTCCAATTTATCCAGACCTTGACGTCAAAAAATAAGTTAAAACATCCAAATAATAAAAAATGCATGCTGACAGGATAAGATTAGAATACAATTGCAGAAACCTTCACCCAGCCGGCCTCTTTCCACCCCTATATTCTGATTTAAAACAGTCTGATCAGCTGTAGTGAGTCAGAGTTCCTGGTAAATTCAATAAGAAAAGCAAAATATATATAAGACCAAGACATGCCTGGTCTGCAAAATAAAACACACAGAGAGTGTAGGAACACGGTGTCCAACAAAATTCCAGAACCGAAAACATATTGGTGGTAATTGAGACGTCCTAAAAAACTTCTCTTTCGAAATTTAACCAAGAACATGATGGAAAATTGAAGCAAAGAAAAAAAAAACATTGGAAAAGAAGAGTGTAGTGGAGAAAATGAAGTACAAATAGAACTGTGATAGGGTATGGGCAGACATGTGAGCACCTTATTTAATTGCTTTGACCATCATCTATTCAGTTTAAACATATTATAAAAAATACTGGAGTTTAACTTAACCCCTTCCTTTGACCCCCCTTTTATAGGTCGAAGTTTGATAATTGGACCAATGAGAGTTAAGGAGCATTCGAATTCGACCAATGATCGACCAGAAATCTAATTTATTCCAACATTTTCTGAAATAGTTTAATTCCTTCACTCAAAAGTTGAAATTCAAAGTTTTCAGCTGGATACAAAGGAATTCAAAATAGAAAAAATAATAATTAATTGTGTTAAAGGGAAGTTTTTCTCTTCCAATGGCCTTTGGGCACATGGACTCATTGGGGGCATGTCAGGCAGATCAGCTGTTCCTCATGTTCAGGTAGAAAGAAAGATAGATGGATAGATAGATAGATAGATAGTAGATAGATAGATAGATAGATAGATAGATAGATAGTAGATAGATAGATAGATAGATAGATGGATAGATAGATATATAGATAGATAGATAGATGGATGGATAGATATAGATATAGATAGATAGATATATAAATATATATAGATAGATAGATAGATAGTAGATATTTAAAAAATTGATTAATTGATTGATCGCTATTTTGTTCAGACATGAAGATGTATCCAAGTCTTGGTTGGGTGATCTAGCGCTGCAGACAGAAGACGACATTAATGTTTCAAAGTAAGTTCAAACAGAAGACGACATTATCGTTCTAAAGTGAAAAAAAAGTATTTGCTTTTTTGGAAATCATGAAATTTTATCCTACGAAGTTATGTCGTTTTGACGTTTATTTTTACTAGACGGAAATTTTTCGCAGGATGAACCAAATAATTATATTTTAAAATTTCTCAGCCTAGAACATGTACTCTCAAATAAATAGTGTTAGGCACAGTCGTTGTCGTATTAATCAATGAAGACGACTTTCAATCTTAATTTTGATTACTACCAATATCTTTCAAATATTAGAGACACATAAACATGGAAACAAAGAGATGCATTTGTTTTCCATGTAATTATTAAAATCCCCAACTCTTTTATCGTAGATTCCATTTTCACAGGAGCAATATTTCATCGTTATTAAACTGTTCTGAGAAAACTGAGTAAAATTCAAGATACAAAACCTCACCAGACACTTGTACTCCGAAAGCGTACTGCATATTTGAATTTTGTACTGTATGAATAGGCCATATAATCCCTTAACATGCTTTATCAGTAAACTATCCCAAGTGTACACTCAGGCTAATACACACGGAGAGGTAGCTGAGATCCAGTCCCCCTGATTATTTTATATTTCAGTAAACTGCTGAAAATGTTGGTTGAGTTTGCAGGAACAGGAAAACCCAGCAAGGATAATATATGGAAACCTGCAGGGAGGAAAATATGAAAAATAATCAATTGATAATTTTGATAAACTTTAGAAAACATACTGTAACCTGAAAGAATTGTAAGCTTAATTTCAAGTGACCCTACATGCAAAGATGACAATGTCACACAATGTGGAAGATATGGTTGTTTTTCTAGCTTTCAAAGTGTTTAAATCTGATAAGATTTAATTTTTCCTGTAGTAGAAATGCGCAACTTACATTTGCAGAGAAACTACATTTTAAAATAATTATTTTACAATTCTATAAACATCGATAATTATTTTATTCTTGACAAAGCTTTTAAGGGTGCTCTTGTGAATCGGGAATTGCCATTTTAGCCTGGAGGATTACTTAAAATTAAATTTTTTTACTGGAACATCTAAGACAGATTTTGCAATAACAATTAATAAAACATATCTCTGAATTCTGAAGTCTTCTCCTTGGCATATTTTAGCATCTTTTAGCATATTTTAGCATCTTTTAGCATATTTTAGCATATTTTAGCATATTTTAGCATATTTTAGCATATTTTAGCATATTTTAGCATAGTTTAGCATATTTTAGCGGTTATTTTACTAAAGGGACTGTATACGTAAAATCAAGTGACCCCTCCATGCAAAGATGACAATGCTCGATTTGCCTCATCAAGTTTAATTAAACATCAATGTTTATAACTTTGAAAACTGATTACTGTCAATTTTGGTTTCTCTGCAATCTTTAATTAAGATGATTTTCTTCCCATTTTTACAAGTTTTGACTTGTATTTCCAATTCTGAACCCTTTAATAAAATTCATGTTTCGTGGGACACCCTATACTTCCGATTGGATTTCGACTTTTTATAGCCTTTGGAAAGCCTTGAACAAAAGGAAGCAGATTGCACACTTTTTGCGAAGAAATTTTGCACAGAAAATGTGCAAATTTTAGGTTTTCCTTAAATATAAATTTAGTTTTTAAAAAATTTGCTAATATTTTTGCATATATGAATTTGCCGTGGTAAGTGCTTTTCAAAAATGTATAATTTATCATATTTCGCGCACTTTTTAGCACATTTTTGGGTTAATAACTGCAATACTATAATACTGCAATAAATATTTCATTTTTTTTTGGCAAATTTGCAATTTTTTAGCAGATTATTACAGTAGAGCCCAAGACTTTCAAAAAATTGTATCAAATGATTTAGATTTGTATCACAAAAAGGAGTGGGGGTCCCAGTAAACTAGAAATCAGCCTATATAGGATTAATATTCTTTAATAATAATTGTTATTCCTTAATGTGTGTTAATTCAAAAACTGAACAAAGTCGACAATACATTTTTACAATTTTCCTGCACAGAGCTGGAAAATTTGTCGTATGCGGTGTTAGACAGTAAAGAGGTAAGAAAAAATCTAGATAAATAAAAATTATTAAATTAAATATTAATAAGTCACGTCGCTTGTAAAAAAAACTTTATACACTGAAAATTTATTGGTCTTTCCTTTATGTTTAAACAAAACAAGATAAATTAAAAGATTTATTTAGAGTTTGGCTTCACAAAACTAATTTAACATAAGATTATGGGGATATGTCATTACATACAGTGGTAACCAGAACACTATGGAAAGATGGTCTTTATTTATTTATTATAACTATAAATTATAATATTTCGCTTTTCTTGGCAAATTTATCATTAAAAATGTGCCTTTAACATTTTCATAAATTTTTCCACATTTTTCTTGTTTCTTGTTCATATACAGGGTTTTCTTGTTTCTTGTTCATATAGAGGGTTTTCTTGTTTCTTGTTCATATAGAGGGTTTTCTTGTTTCTTGTTCACATACAGGGTTTTCTTGTTTCTTGTTCATATACAGGGTTTTCTTGTTTCTTTATCATATATAGGGTTTTCTTGTTTCTTGTTCATATACAGGGTTTTCTTGTTTCATGTTCATATACAGGGTTTTCTTGTTTCTTGTTCATATACAGGGTTTTCTTGTTTCTTGTTCATATACAGGGTTTTCTTGTTTCTTGTTCATATACAGGGTTTTCTTGTTTCATGTTCATATACAGGGTTTTCTTGTTTCTTGTTCATATACAGGGTTTTCTTGTTTCTTGTTCATATACAGGGTTTTCTTGTTTCTTGTTCATATACAGGGTTTTCTTGTTTCTTGTTCATATATAGGGTTTTCTTGTTTCCTGTTCATATACAGGGTTTTCTTGTTTCATGTTCATATACAGGGTTTTCTTGTTTCTTGTTCATATACAGGGTTTTCTTGTTTCTTGTTCATATACAGGGTTTTCTTGTTTCTTTATCATATATAGGGTTTTCTTGTTTCTTGTTCATATACAGGGTTTTCTTGTTTCATGTTCATATACAGGGTTTTCTTGTTTCATGTTCATATACAGGGTTTTCTTGTTTCATGTTCATATACAGGGTTTTCTTGTTTCTTGTTCATATACAGGGTTGTTCATATATAGGGTTTTCTTGTTTCTTGTTCATATACAGAGTTTTCTTGTTTCATGTTCATATACAGGGTTTTCTTCTTTCTAGTTCGTATATAGGGTTTTCTTGTTTCATTTTCATATACAGGGTTTTCTTGTTTCTTGTTTATATACAGGATTTTCTTGTTTCTTGTTCATATATAGGGTTTTCTTGTTTCATGTTCATATACAGTTTTTTCTTGTTTCATGTTCATATACAGGGTTATCTTGTTTCTTGTTCAAATACAGGGTTTTCTTGTTTCTTGTTCATATACAGGGTTTTCTTGTTTCTTGTTCATATACAGGGTTTTCTTGTTTCATTTTCATATACAGGGTTTTCTTGTTTCATGTTCATATACAGGGTTTTCTTGTTCATATACAGGGTTTTCTTGTTTCTTGTTCATATACAGGGTTTTCTTGTTTCATGTTCATATATAGGGTTTTCTTGTTTCTTGTTCATATATAGGATTTTCTTGTTTCTTGTTCATATATAGGGTTTTCTTGTTTCTTGTTCATATACAGGGTTTTCTTGTTTCTTGTTCATATACAGAGTTTTCTTGTTTCATGTTCATATATAGGGGTTTCTTGTTCATGTTCATATACAGGGTTTTCTTGTTTCATGTTCATACACAGGGTTTTCTTGTTTCTTGTTCATATACAGGGTTTTCTTCTTTCATGTTCATATATGAGGTTTTCTTGTTTCCTGTTCATATACAGGGTTTTTTTGTTTCTTGTTCATATACAGGGGTTTCTTGTTTCTTGTTCATATACAGGGTTTTATTGCTTCTTGTTCATATACAGGGTTTTCTTGTTTCTTGTTATACAGGGTTTTCTTGTTTCTTGTTCATATACAGAGTTTTCTTGTTTCTTGTTCATATACAGGGTTTTCTTGTTTCATGTTCATATACAGGGTTTTCTTGTTTCTTGTTCAAATACAGGGTTTTCTTGTTTCTTGTTCATATACAGGGTTTTCTTGTTTCTTGTTCATATGCAGGGTTTTCTTGTTTCATGTTCATATACAGGGTTTTCTTGTTTCTTGTTCATATACAGGGTTTTCTTGGTCATATACAGGGTTTTAATGTTTCTTGGTCATATACAGGGTTTTCTTGTTTCTTGTTCATATATAGGGTTTTCTTGTTTCCTGTTCATATTCAGGGTTTTCTTGTTTCTTGTTCATATACAGGGTTTTCTTGTTTCTTGTTCATATACAGGGTTTTCTTGTTTCTTGTTCATATACAGGGTTTTCTTGTTCATATACAGGGTTGCACACAAAAAATGAGACTTCATAGACTACTGTACGGAATTTTTACTGTCAGTTTCGTTAAATTCATGATTTCTTGCAACTAAAAACTTGTGTCTTTCTTTTCAACATAATTAAGACATTAAATTTCTATATTTGAGATAGAAATCTAATCTTGGATTCGTTAGTTGAAGAGTTTGCGGTCGTCTTTGCAGTCTCATTCTCTACGGGTAACCCTGTATACGCTGTTAATAGTTGTAAATAGTCCAATGAACATGAAACGCAGTAGTTGTGCAGTGTGCACAGACCCATTCCGCTTAATTAACGGATTATCAACGCTACTGGTAAAACTATATCCATCATATAACAATTCATTCAAAACATTAAAAGTCTTCTTTCTAATCCATATTTTTGTGGGTTCCATTGTGTAAGCCTTTAGAAATTAATTATTTAAAGGGAGTGTTCGCGAAAAATAAAAGGGGGTATAGGCTTAATGCGATAAAAAAGCGCTTTTGATCGCTACTAATCTTACTTATATCTGTTGCGTCTACAAGGAGAAAATTGATAAAGACGTCTTATGCCGAAGAGCGTAGCGCCCATACAAATTGAGGAAGTTGGAACATACGACTTAGACCGTAAAAAAATCAAATTAATATCTAACAAATCATTCAGATATTACAACCTATAGTCATCGATTATCTTTCGCCACATTTGTATATATTTAATATTTCATACTAGTTTTGATTTTGTTTTTTAAAATAATATTTAGCTTACAACTTGTTTTCGAACATTCCTGGAAAATATTAAAATGTCGTCTTCATTACCAAAAATCCTCAAAACAGGAATAAACGTTTTTATAAGTAACTCTCAGATCATAACAATTAAAACATATTATGAAAAATCAACTATTATATAAATGTTGCGAAAGATAATCGATGACTATAAGGTTGTAATATCTGAATGATTTGTTTGAAATTAAATTGATTTTTTTACGGTCTAAGTCGTATGTTGCAATTTTCTCAATTTGTATGGTCGCCATGTTATTCGGTATGAGACGTCTTTAACAATTTTCTCCTTATAGACGCAACAGATAGAAGTAAGATTAGTGGCGATCAAACGCGCTTTTTTATCGCATTAAGCCTATACCCCCTTTCATTTTTCGCGAACACTCCCTTTAAGCAATCGAATTTATTGAATTTGAGCTACGCCGGTGATCTGCCTAGTGCCTACTCCCGGTTCAAATTTGAATCCCCGTTTCAAATCCTTACTTAATATTACCTTTGAATCAGGAGTTCAAATTTGAACCGGCAGTTGGTAGTTCAGTTGTTCATTAAATTCTGGTCCAGGTTCGAATGGAGTACCCTGCAGTATTTGCGGAGAGGATGCAACTTGTCCAAAATATGTTTCAAATAATTCATAAACACAGGTTTGATAAAAAAAAAAAAAAATTTATTTTATTTCTACCACCAAACAATTTATCTAAATAATATCATCAATAGGAATGTAATCATAATTTCAAGTGACAATCCATTTTCAATGTGGGCTGTACGATTCACATGGTACCCTATAGAAGCTATGTCTGAACAAGAACGAATTAGATCTTCATCTTTTTTTACAATTTATTTTTAAATTAAAAATCTTTAACAAAATTTTAAAGATCTATGTTTAACTCTTTAAAAGTGTATTATTTTCAACTCTTATTTGTCTACAAAAGTTTTTAACTTTAATAATTTATTTTAATTAAATTTTACAATATTTTTAAATTTCAATATGATATCAGATGGAAACATTTTGAGACTTCTATATTTCTTGTTTTTCATTCTTTCGTGTTGATCGTCCATTCCTTGTCCATCCTTCAATCATCCTTTGGCTAATTTTGAAAATAAAAATAAATGATTTTTTGGTTGTTTTCTGCAGCTAGCCAAATTGCAGAGGCAGAACTATTTTTTGGAGCCCTGTATCTATATTTTTTCTTGTTTGTTATTAAATTTTGCTTCAGTCAAGTTACTGATTCAACTCCTGCATTCCTAACATTCATAACACACTTTCAATAAAATTTTCTTGATGGGAAGAGAGGCGTGAGGGTGGCGTTTTACACATTTTCCAGTTTTTTTATCTCGAGTAGGACATGGAGGGGGGGATGGGACGTCTGCCATCCTGTGTATTTGTCTTTAGTCACTATCAATGAAAAAAATAGATGATGTAAAGATCAAATCCCCTTCTAATTTTTCCTGTTCAAAGTTTTCTTCTTCTTTCTTGTTTATCTTTCTTTAAGCACCCATCTCTAATGTCAAAAGATTCCCCTTCCACTGTTCAATTTCTTTTTTCTTCTTGCTTCTTGTTTCTTGTTTTTACACTTTAAGTCCTTTCCAAATAGTTCTTTTAACATCTAGTTGTGGAGCAGGTAGGAGAGCGATAAGGAGGTTTGTAGGAAGAAGGGTATAGGGGATTTTTCCCTGTGTTCCTTCATTTTATACTGTTTCCCAGTTAGGGGAATTAAGGAATTTACCCATAACTGCACCCCCTTATGCAAAATGGGGAGTTGTGATCCCTGAAAGCTCTCTTGAGAGGTATATTCCATGGCAGTCCAGTCCTCACATCTGGTCGAGTAAAAAACCGGTATCGTTGTGCATGGCTTGTATTCCCACGAGGGGTTAAACTCCTCTTTCAGTGCACCAAGCTGAAGATGAAATTTTGTTTTCAGCTTCCCCTGTAGGATACAAGATGCGTAACTAAACTCAGCGCTTCCCCAGCTGTAATTCTGGGACTACTACAAAAGTAACTTACACATTTTATCTGCAAATACAATTATAGGAGGAAATCAACAGAATTTAACACTTTTAAAGCGCTAGATCAAGATCACATTAATAATCAGATGAAGGTCTAAAGGGTACCCCTGTGAATCGGGCTTGCTTTATTTCTGCTTCATAATTCCGCAAGCCTCCCTTTTAATTTAAAAATATCCACTTTAAGTTAAAAATCTATTTTTGTTTAATTCTTTTTAAACTTAATATTTTTCATAAAGACTGTCTGTCCGGGAGACCGACTGATAACAGTTTTGATTCGTTTGATCAAGTATGAATTAGATATAAAATGTCGTTGCTCTGCAAAAATAAATTGCGCATTTCTTTCGTATAAGAAGCAATGGAGAAACTCACAGAAATGAAAACATTTCGAGTCAGAAAAACGATTGCATCTTCCATCTTGTTTTTCAGATTAAGGTTTCAAGGGTATCGTCGCCATCTTTAAATATTTAAATAAAAAATGATTATTTTTCTTTAAAGAAATTTCAACATGAGCGAACATCCGGCCCTGGTTCAGATGCAGAAGGACAAGGAGATATTTGGCCAGGAGGAGATTAACAAAGAGATTAACAGGTATATAGGAGGAGATCAACAAGGAGATTAACAGGTATATAGGAAGAGATTAACAGGTATATAGGAGGAAATTAACAAGGAGATTAATAGGTATATAGGAGAAGATTAACAAGGAGATTAACAGGTATATAGGAGGAGATTAACAAGGAGATTAACAGGTATTTAGGAGGAGATTTACAAGGAGATTAAAAAGTATATAGGAGGATATTAACAGGTATATAGGAGGAGGTTAACAGGTATATAGGAGGAGATTAACAGGTATATAGGAGGAGATTAACAGGTATATAGGAGGAGATTAACAGGTATATAGGAGGAGATTAACAGGTATTTAGGAGGAGATCAACAAGGAGATTAACAGGTATATAGGAGGAGATTAACAAGGAGATTAACAGGTATTTAGGAGGAGATTACAAGGAGATTAACAGGTATATAGGAGGAGATTATCAAGAAACTACGGGACGGGAAAATTTATATAATCAAGAATAAAGAACTCAAAATCATTGATTTACTCGTAAAAACTCTATTTAACTTTTTATTTAACTCTAAAATTTGAACTTTGAAAAAGTTTCAAACATATTTTCTGGGGAAATGAAACCAAACTATATTCAAACTATAAAATCTCTAAAAACTAAGGAATAGGAAATTGACATTTAAGCAATTCTATTTTGATATAAAACAAATAGTTTTAGCAATTTATTTAGGGAGTTGTGTCTGACTGTATCAAAATTACAGTGTTTCAATTTTCATATTATTGGACTAATCTAAGTCTAAAAGTCGTCTTTCTTATTTGTCCTTCTGTATACATCTTAGAGGGAGAGAAATTAAATGTATTCCTTTTATGCAAAAAAACTCTTTAGTGATGCTGATTGGGGAATCCAAAGGGAGGCTGTGGAGACAGATGTGGAATATGTATCGGAGGCCGGAGACAAATCGGAGGCTAAAGGTGGAGATAAACCCGAGGCGGAGAAGAAGGCGAATGTTGAGGATGTGGAGGACATATTTTCACTCGAAAAAGCCATGGAGATGTTAAACAATTGGGAGGCGTATGCCAGGGAGGGAGAAACTAAACATTTAATAGAGGGACAGCTGACTACTGACTGCTGACTGCTGACTGCTGACTGCTGACTGCTGACTGCTGACTGCTGACTGCTGACTGCTGACTGCTGACTGCTGACTGCTGACTGCTGACTGCTGACGTAATTTGAAGTGACTCTTCATCATTTTAACCTGAGTCAGCTCACTTCTGAATATCACAATTCTGTCAATTTCCTTCCTTGACTCTGCTCCTGCATAAATCTGCAACTCACTTTCAATTGTCTATTTTCTGATCGACAAACAAGGTTTTTTTCGATCGCTTTGCTTAGTCAAATGTTTAAAGATCGCCGCCGTTGTGGATCAGGTTTAACAATCTTTGGATGAAGGGTCCCTTACAGGACATAAGAACGCAAATACCAAAGACAGAAGTATCAAGAACAAAGGACCACGGACAAAGAACAAAGGACAAATTGAAAAGGAAATCTTTTTTGATGGAGCATCTCTTACAAGGACATAGGAACAATTCAGTACCAAAGACTTAACAAAGGAACAAGGATAAAAGCCAAAGGACAAATGCCTAAGGAGAAATGCCAATGGCCAAATGCCAAAGGTCAAATTCCAAAGGACTAAGCTTGAAAAAGGATCAAGGAGAAGTGCAGAGTAAAATGAACTCATGATAAAGAACAAAAGACTCTCTTTGAATGGACGTAAGAACAAAAGTACCACAGGTTAAGTAGATCATCAAGGTCCAAAGATCAAGGAAAAAATAGGAAAAAGGAGAAAGTAGAAAGGACAAAGCAAAGGCCAAAAGGCCAAAGATCAAAGGTAAGGACAAAAGACAACTGAAATAAAGTTTAAGGACACAAGGACAAACCAAGAACCACAAACCACGAACTTTTGCCAAGAGCATAAGAACCAAAGAATTGTAAACGAATGGTTTCTCTCTAAGTAGTGAGGAGGTGAAGGAGATTGTGAAGGGAATTCAGAAGGATGGATCCTTTAAGGTAAAGATGGTCGTCATTTTTTTTTTGTAACATTCAAGTTTTTCCACTTTCACTAGGCTTTACAATAATTTAAGATGTTTAACACATGTTTTAAAATTGAATTGTTTGTATTTTTTACAGCTTATGTACTCTGACTCAAAAGGAAAAAAATGAACGGTTGGATTAATGTTTTGTTCGGTTAATATCTTTGGTCTGAGTAAAATTGTTTCATAATGTTAAAAGGCAAACTTGTAGACTTTTTACAGTCGTCGTCGTATATATCAATACAATGAAGACGACTTTCGATTTCAGATTTTTATTTTTATCAAGCTTTTAAACAGCATAAATAAACATAAACATGGAAGCAAAGAGAAGCTGTTAAAAACAGTTTTTATCGTTTACTTAAAAACTTGTAATTTGATAAAAGCATCCTAAATCGCGAACCACTGTAGCAATATATTACAAGATAAACACACGAATCCAAAACATGATTTAAACAAATGTTAGAAAAAGCCTATCTCTATCTCAAGGTGATAACAGATACTTTGAAGAACATCAAGATTGAGACAAATAAAGACGAGCTTTGAAACTGGAAACCATTCGGAGAAAACCTGTTATTGTTTTGAAAATAGATATTTTTTAACAAATATGATAACTTAACTTCTGTTATCGATTTTTAGATAAAGAAACAAGAATATCTTCCACGTTGTCTCTGATACAAATTTAATGGTACCGGAGTGAATCGGATTTTATTTGAAAATTTACTACTTTGTCTCTGCTGCAGAAATCACTTTGATAGAGAAACCACAAGTAAAAATTAACTATTCCTTCCAGAACAAAATAAGGATATCTTCATCATTTTTTCTCGGACGAAGATACCTTTGAAAGATCCAAACTGCTGTGAAAGGAGTTGAGTCTTTGCCGCAAATTCAGTTTTTGTAAAACCTATATCTTTGCAACCTTATGATGTAAACCTTTAATATTTCAAACTTACATTATTTGATCTAATAGCATTCATAGTTTGAAATATTAAAGGTCTACGACGATATTGAAATTAGAAAATCAGAGTTTGTGGCAAAATTCAATTCCTTTTAAGACTGGGTTAACTTAGAAGTGTTCCAGCGCCTTGGCCTATAATTATCCCCAACTCATTTATATTTTTTGTAGCCAGAAGTAATTGGAAACATTCTCATTGATTTTTACGGGACTGCTTGCTACCTTTGGATTACTTTCAGGCTTAAAGGATATAATTGTTGAGCGGGTATTCCCGTTCAGAACGGTCACTTGAAATTACGCTGACAGTTCCTATAACCTTTATACCAAAAACTGTGGTTCAAAGCGATTAATCGACATATGGTACACATTATTAGAGTTTCATCTACAGGGTGTCCCACGAAACATGACAGTTGATGAATAGTTTAGAATGTCGTCTTCCAAATACTGGAATAGATTTAAAGACTTTTGGCAGTTAAAGTTCGGTAGAAAAATCTTTTACTCCAATATAGAGATGATGGGATTGATTTTATTATAATAAAACTGCCCCATAATGTTTATTGTAATTTTCTTTGGTATCAAACAACTTAACAAATTATGGAAAAAGACATTTTAAAATATTCAGCAATTGTCATGTTTCGTGGGACACCCTGTAGTATAAAAGTACAGAAATTGGAACAAAGAATCCGATATTTCAAAAAATGCCCTGCACTCATGAACAGTGGCAGGGTAAAGGAGATCTGCGCGAAAGGGGTGTGGGTAAAAGACAAAAAAAAAAGATGAAATGGTCCTTCTGTGAAAGTAGCAGAATAGTTCGTCCCACATAAACACCTTTCTTTATGTTTCCTGCATTTTTCCTTAAAAATAAAACTCAACAATTTTCCAACAGACATGATAAAAATTAATTTAAATAGAATAACTTCAAAAGCGTATCGTACACACTGCTGAAAATGAACCATCAGGATTCAAGTCAAAACACCTAATTTTTTTCTTCGGAATATATCAATATGCAGGTTTCAAAATTTTCAGAAAATGCCACCTAGGGAATTTTAACTGAATCCATTTTTAAGGAAATTGTAGAAATCAAGTGCATTTTTAAGTCTAAACTCAAACTTAACTGTACGTTTAAAGATTAATCAAGATTATTCTGTGTTCTTTTGCGATATTTTTAGAACCGTTGATGGCAGGGTCCCCAAATTTTGTGAATTTTCCTTAACAGTCATAAGACATGTTTTAGCAAAAAAATCAGAGCCTTAAGTGAACTGTATAATTACCCAATTACTGCCTAAAAAAAGACTTTTTCAAGTAAAATCAGTAAAAATTACATCAAAAAAACTTTTTCGGGCCGCATTTTGACATCCAGGCAGTTGACAGGGGGGGTTTGATTTTTTGATACAATAAGTTTCATGACTGTTAAAGAAAATAAAAAAATTTGGAGACCATGCCATACACTGTTGAAAAAATATAGTCAAAAAACCAGAAGAAGCAGATTAAAGAGATCTTTCAAAGTATCCAAGCGCTTCAAAAAGGTAGGATAGGAAGAAGTTTATTTGAATATTTATACATAAATAAATTAATAACCTTTAGAATCTTATACATAATGAAAAGAGGATCACTATGAGGCATGGCTTTTGAGTCATAACTTGAGTCTAACAGCCGTCTTGCATTCAAAAGTTTTGATGTCTGAATAATTTTTAGAATACAATATTTGCTATTTCATACTTTTTTGTGTGTTTCTGTATTTTAAAATTTTCAGTTTATAGGAGCTCTTACGGATTTTGAATTCAAAATCAAGATCAAAAATCAAGATTGTAAAAATTCCGATACAGGATGAATATCGTTGGAGTTAGTTTTGATAAGAACATATCATGCAAATCTGCCCAGTTAAAGTAATCCTATATGAAGCATAAAGTCTGACCGCGTCAACCTTGTTGCACCGGCTAGTCCTGTCCATAGAGCTAGGTACAGTACAAACTCATAACTGGGACCGGAAAGGTTGACCCAGCATGGAAATTCAAATGTACTACGGCTGCCTGTGATATAGGCATTTACTAGCACAACCAACCGCTGCGGCTTAAACATTTGGGAAAAGTTGTATTTTGGGAAACTAATATTGGGAAAGTAACTTTAGCACTATAACAACAACGAAGTACATCCTGTCTGAATGGAAATATTTTTAGCCATATTTTGATTTTTCATTTCAAAATCTCTCTAAAATAGCCTTTATGTGATGTTATTCACTTTGATATTTAAAATAAATAGCCAAAATAAAAGTATAAAATAACAAATATGAAGAATTTACCGGGTGAAAATGAATTCTGTCATTTATGCAAGACCTCAAGTTTACCAACAAACTAGAGTAAACTGCACATATAACTAAAATATAAATCATTAAAAGTTTCTTGATAGAGAAGAACGAACATTTTTTTAATTGCTAATATGTAACCAAATAAATTTGCCTTCCTCAATTGTTCGTAAAACCAGAACTAAATGAGCTGCTTGGCCACAAGATCGTACCAGTCATTCAAATTTAATTTGACCATCCCTTCCTGATTAGTTTGCATTGCCATGGTTAAATTATCAAATCACATCATTAATTAGGCCACAAATTTTACAATGTACATACATACAAATGCTAATTATAAATATATTGTATGAATTTATACAAAATTACTAAGGTCCATATTTGTATTGTTGTTTTTACTGTTGAGGCTGAAAACATAATGTAAGAAAATCAATTTCATAGTTTTGAAAAAGTTGATGTATTTGATGTAATCAAAATAAATATCTAATTTAACACAAAACTTATTTCTCCACTTTTAGATATTTTGAAATTAAATTCAATTTAAAAAAATGTATATAAAATTTATTGTTTCAAGATATTATTTGCGGGCATAGCAATATTTTTGTTGGAGGAAGGTTGGGGATCAAGTGAAAGTGATGATTATCATGAAAACCTTAAATGTTCAATTATTAACTCTATAAAACCGGAACATAGTGAGGGGGGGGTATCCAGAATATTAAAAGATTAACAGAATATCCTGACATTTTTATTGGTTTAACCCTGCAGGGTCCGGGACGGGGAGGGGGGCAGGGGGACCCGGAAGAGGGACTGACCAAGATTATGATTAAGGTTCCCAGGGAACCCGAAGCTGACCGGAAATATTTCTATTATCAGGTCAATTCAGATAGTTAGCGATGTAATTAAGGGCATCCAAGGTTAACCCATTAACTTAATGACCCTTCCTTTGATCCCCCCCCCTTTATCTGGGCCAAAATAACAATATATACATCATGCTTTAGTAACAATTCTGCGTCAAATTGAACTCAGATTATCTGGGCCAACAATATATACATCATGCTTTAATAACAATTCTGCGTCAAATTGAACTCAGATTATCTGGGCCAACAATATATACATCATGCTTTAATAATTGTGCAAAAACGTTATTAAATTATAATAATTGGGCTTTTTTAAAAAACTAATTTGGGCAAAATCTCATAAAATAAAATAAAATACTCTAGATTTATTTGTGTTCAAAGCAATTTTTGTGACCATTTTGACCAAACAAATTGTTTAGTTATTAAACTCCATAGTTAAGATGATAAACTCCATTGTTTAGATAATAAACTCCCTAGTTCAAATGACAAACTCCATTGTTTAGATGATAAACTCCATTGTTTAGATGATAACCTCCATGGTTTAGATGATAAACTTCAAAGCTTAGATGAAAAACTCCATGGTTCAGATGATAAACTCCATGGTTAAGATGATAAACTCGAAAGTTTAGATATTAAACTCCATGGTTTAGATGATAAACTGCTTGGTTTAGATGATAAACTTCATAGTTTAGATGATAAACTCCATGGTTTAGATGATAAACTGCATAGTTATATGATAAACTCCATGGTTTATATGACAAACTGAATAGTTTGGCTGATAAACTCCATGGCTAAGATAATAAACTCCATGGTTTAGATGATAAACTGCATAGTTTAGCTGATAAACTCCATGGCTAAGATAATAAACTCAATTGTTTAGATGATAAACTCCATGGCTAAGATAATAAACTCCACTGTTTAAATGATAACTCCATGGCTAAGATAATAAACTCCATTGTTTAGATGATAAGCGCCATGTTATAAAGATGATAAACTTCCTGCTATAAGATAATAAACTCCATGGTTAAGATGATAAACTCCATGGTTTAGATGATAAGCGCCATGTTATAAAGATAAACACTCCCTGCTATAAGATAGTAAACTCCATGGTTTAGAGGATAAACTCAATGGTTTAGATGATTATAAAATAAAATAAAATAAATATCTTAATTATTCAGTTATTAAACGATTAATTAGTAATTACAAATCTTTTAATTTAATATTTAAACATTTTTGAACTTAACTCGAGAAATTAATAATAAATCAACTATTCACCAGGACGGTAAAATAAACCTTTAAAACTAAACTGAGATTGTAAAAAATTCTCAAAATATAAATGTTTACAACTTGACAATTAACCCTAGCTGTCTGGATCAGGTTGGATGGTTGGGGGGGGGGATGTTAGAAACTCTACAGGTCTGGGGAATACTTGATTATTGAGGAATACAATGCACTGTGAACTAGATGAAGGTATAATTAGATTGCTTAAATGTCGCCTTTCTATTCCACAGTTTTATGACAAAGTGTTCTATTTCATATTAGATTATCTCCAAAATAAGAAAAACATACTCGAAAAACTTTCGATTTTCTGCAAACATATTTTGTATTATCCTTTACAATTTTTTTAATGATTCAATCTTTAAAATTTTATGATAAGTTCAAAATTGCAATTTTTGATTATCGTTTAAATCCAATATGATGTGGGACACATAAATATGTTTGCAATACAGGGTTACCCACAAAGGATGAGACTGTAAAGACGACCTGAAACTTTTAAAATATGACTATCCCAGGGATAAAATAAGTTTTACGGCATCAGTAGAGGCTTTTTCATGGCTGACTAAATGATTTGAAAAAGAAAGAAACAAGATTGCAGTTGCAATTAATCTTAAAAGTAAGGAAACAGAGAATAAAAATTTCGTACAGACGTCTATTAAGTCTAGTCTGTTGTGGGTAACCCACTGTATGTAGAACTATAATAAACTATGTTCTATATTCTTAAGACAAATCTATATATTTGATTTGATTAAAATCTGATTATACTAAAGAAATGACAAGTTTAACTAGCGTAAATGTTTTCGATCATAACGTTTACTCTTCAGAAACTATTGAGAAAATGTTTTAAATTGCTAATATGTTACTGACTAAATTTGCCTTTCTCATATTTGTGCGTAAAATCCGAACTAAAGGTCACAAATGTCAATTGAATTTAACCTTCTCCTCCTGGTTAACTTGAAGTGATAAAATAAAGATAGTTTTCCTCAAATTTGAGATTTCCTAAATGCGATCTTGAACCATCAAAAGTGAACTGAGGTATAGACGGAATAATTAATAGCTTAAAAGGAATGTTAGCGAAATTTCAAGTGACCCTCCATGCGAAGATGTCAATCCCTGATTCACAACAGTACCATTATATCCTTTATCTGATCAATAATGTGGAAGATATTGTCGTTTTTCTAGATTTTAAAGTGTTTATTTTGATAATATTAACATGTTTCCTGATGTAGAAATGCGCGAGTCACTTTTTGTATAAAACTCACAATTGAGAAAAGTCAGTTTGCAAAATTATAAGCGTCGCTAGAAATTACGCTTTCTTTCCATTTAAAAGACATAATAAAGACAAGATAAAGACAGGATAAAGACAGGATAAAGACAGGATAAAGATAGGATAAAGATAGGATAGATACAGGATAAAGATAAGATAACAACAGGATAAAGATAGGATAAAGATAAGATAACAACAGGATAAAGATAGGATAGATACAGGATAAAGATAGGATAGATACAGGATAAAGACGGATAAAGATAGGATAGATACAGGATAAAGACAGGATAAAGATAGGATAGATACAGGATAAAGACAGGATAAAGATAGGATAAAGACAGGATAAAGACAGGATAAAGACATGATAAAGATAGGATAAAGATAGGATAGATACAGGATAAAGATAAGATAACAGCAGGATAAAGACAGGATAAAGACAGGATAAAGATAGGATAGATACAGGATAAAAACAGGATAAAGACAGGATAATTACAGGATAAAGATAGCGTAAAGATAGGATAAAAACAGGATAAAGATAGGATAAAGACAGGATAAAGACAGGATAATTAAAGGATAAAGACAGGATAAAGATAGCGTAAAGATAGGATAAAAACAGGATAAAGATAGGATAAATATAGGATAAAGACAGGATAAAGACAGGATAAAGACAGGATAAAGACAGGATAAAGATAGGATGAAGAAAGGATAAAGACAGGATAAAGATAGGATAAAGATAGGATAAAGATAGGATAAAGACAGGATAAAGACAAGATAAAGACAAGATAAAGACAGGATAAAGACAGGATAAAGACAGGATAAAGACAGGATAAAGATAGGATAAAGATGGTGTAAAGACAGGATAAAAATAGCGTAACGGTAGGATAAAGATAGGATAAAAACAGGATAAAGATAGGATAAAGATAGGATAAAGACAGGATAAAGATAGGATAAAGACAGGATAAAGACAGGATAAGACAGGATAAAGATAGGATAAAGACAGGATAAAGACAGGAAAAAGACAGAAAAAAAGATAGAATAAAGACAAGATAAAGACAGGATTAAGACAGGATAAAGATAGGATAAAGACAGGATAAAGACAGGATAAAGATAGGATAAAGATAGGATAAAGACAGGATAAAGACAGGATAAAGATAAGATAAAGACAGGATAAAGACAGGATAAAGACAGGATAAAGATAAGATAAAGACAGGATAAAGATAAGATAAAGACAGGATAAAGATAGGATAAAAATAGGATAAAGACAGGATAAAGACAGGATAAAGACAGGATAAAGATAGGATAAAGACAGGATAAAGGCGAGATTAAGTTGATATAAAGTTAAGATAAAGACTAGATAAAGTTGAGTAAAAGTTTAGATAAAGTTGAGATAAAGTTGAGATAAAAATGAGATAAATACGAGATAAAGTTAAGATAAAGACGAGTTAAAGTTAAGATAAAGTTGAGATAAATTTGAGATAAAGTTGAGATAAAGACATGATAAAGACGAGATAAAGTTGAGATAAAGTTAAGATAAAGTTGAGATAAAGTTGAGATAAATACGAGATAAAGTTGAGATAAAGACGAGCTAAAGTTGAGATAAAGTTGAGATAAAATTGAGATAAAGTTGAGATAAAGTTGAGATAAAGACATGATAAAGACGAGATAAACTTGAGAAAAAGTCGATATAAAGTTAAGATAAAGTTGAGATAAAATCAAATAAAGACGAGACAAAGTTGAAATAAAGTTGAGATAAATTTAATAAAAAGTTTTGATAAAGTTGAGATAAAGCCTAAATAAAGGTGTGATAAAGACGAGAAAAAGTTGAGATAAAGTTGAGATAAACACATGATAAAGACGAGATAAAGTTTAAATAATGTTGATATAAAGTTGAAATAAAGCCTAGATAAAGGTGTGATAAAGACGAGAAAAAGTTGAAATAAAGTTGAGATAAAGACATGATAAAGACGAGATAAAGTTTAAATAATGTTGATATAAAGTTGAGATAAAGCCTAGATAAAGGTGTGATAAAGACGAGAAAAAGTTGAGATGAAGTCGAGATAAAGACATGATAAAGACGAAATAAAGTTAAGATAAAGTTAAGACAAAGACGAGATAAAATTGAGATAAAGTTGAGATAAAGTTGAGATAAAGTCGAGATAAAATTGAGATAAAGTCGAGATAAAATTGAGATAAAGTTGAGATAAAGTCGAGATAAAGTTAAGATAAAGTTGAGATAAAGTTCAGATAAAGACATGATAAAGACGAGATAAAGTTGAGTTAAAGTTGAGGTAAAGTTGAGACAAAGTTAAGTTAAAGTTGGGACCTTACATGACCCCAGGAAAGGTGTATGGATGCTCAGAATTACAAAAAATTGTCTACAACATTTTCGTAACATTTGAAAATCCAAGAAAAAAATCTAATTCGCAATTTTTTATTGTTTTATCGAAGAGTAAATGCTGAAAGATTGAGCAACCACAAAAAGTTAAACTAGAAGATAGGCGCGAAGCATCCTGATTACAAATTAGGTGGACGACAATAACAGTTTTCTGCGTTGATTAAAATGAAAAAAAAAGACAAAATAGAGACAAGATAAAGAAATGATTGAGGAGAGTTTATATTTGAAAATTAATCTGATGCGATAAATCTCCAATAATTACACCCCCCCCCCCTGCGTTCCTGACAGATTAATAATAAAACTTTCATTTTAAATTTGAAAATAATTTATATCAATTATGAAAATTAAGAAGATGGAATAATTGCACCAAAATAATAGATATTTGCGGTAATAATGGGATCGAAAGTGTGTCTCTAAGTGTGTCTCTCTGCACGCTTTTCCCGCCTAAGATCTTGTTTATACCATCGATTTATTCTACATCTCTAAAAATGTGTTAATTTTAAAAAGTTCTTTATTTAAATTTTACAATTTAAAATCAAACGAACAATCAAAAGGGAATTTTAGAACCAAGATTTGCTGTTATCTAGGGTAAGTGTACACTGTACATTTACTGTCCATAAAGGCCCTTATCAGATTTGATAATTACAATGCTTTCATAAATACAATATGTACAAAATACAGAAGTGGATATTTTCAGAATGTACTAAGAACATTGACCATTTCTAAAATTTGCCGATATGAATTTTCCAATGACTATTATTTTTTACAAAAATATTAGTAAAAAATTCCGATTTTTCACGGTCCATTATGATACAGTGCACCCTGTGTGTACAGTTGTACATTGTACGCTGTACAGCCAATTTTTTAATGAAGAGGCAACCTGTAAAACAGAAATTGTTAAAACAAAAAACCTTGAATAGAAATTTTTGTTTAGTATAAATTTTCACTCAAACTTAAACGGAAATAAGTTTAATACTGCATCAAGATTAACAGGAAGAAAGCAGATAAATATTGATAATTATTTGAAAAATAAAAAAATGTATTTTTGCTCAATCTGTCAAGTCTAGACATGTATCTACAAGTCTAGGATTAAATTAAACGGATAATTTTATCCCCCCCCCCCTCTTGAAAATTATTCAGATCTTGACTAGGGGGCTAAGGGGCCGGGACCTGACGAGGGCGGGGCCACATTTCTAATCCGTTTTCTGTGTGTGCCGTTATACAGGAACCGCCGGCTGGAGCGAGCAAAGGCCGCGCCGGTGCGACGGGTTGACCGGCGGAGGGGCGGGGTTTCTTGATAATTACACATTAATCAGAGCGAAATTTAAGTGAAAACTCCAAAACAGTTTTGGAATCAGTTGGATTTGAAATCTCTTAAAGTAAAGACGTTATGACTATTACTCGTGGTGGAATGGTATACCCTGAGAGTTACTCTCAACATCTGATAGATCCGAGCAGTGCTCCAACCCAAACCTGGAGTAGTTATGAATACTGGAATCAATATTCCCAGTATCAAAACCAATATTTCCAGCCTAGCCCTGCCATGCCTATGTACCCGTGGATGAGCCTGAGCAGAGCTCCAGCCCAGACAAGTCCGGAGAAATCTCCAAGTTCTTCTCCGTCCCCTAGTCCGGAGCAGGGGAGCAGCAGTAAACGTCCTCGAACCCAGTTCAAGGCTGGTCAACTGGTTGAACTAGAGAAGGAATATCATTACAACAAATATCTTTGTCGACCACGGAGGTTGGAGTTGGCCTCCACACTCGGCCTCTCAGAACGTCAGATTAAGATCTGGTTCCAAAATCGGCGAATGAAGGCGAAGAAAGAGCATCGAGGCGGATCAAGCTCCACCGTGTCCAGCTCAAGTAGCAGTTTACATCAAGTAGCTCCGCTGGCGGAGGTTTCCTGTGGCAGAAGTAATCTTGAGCACACGGAGGCTAAACTCTACCAGGAGTACAGGACTCAATCAAGTTCTCCGACCTCTTCAACTTTACGTCATCATCCAGGACTCCCAACCCCTCCCTACCCCGGACTCATAACTCCTCCGTCTCCGGACTCTGGTCTCGAGGCTCCAAGGTTAAAGACGGAGATGTATTCCCGGCCGGAGGACAGAGGTGCAGTCCTGTTCTCCATGCCTAACGATTACAGGACAGAGGAGTGTAATAATTTATACAAACTTTCTTCCACGCAGTACTCATCCTCGCTGCAGGAGCTTTCATACTCATTTAACCATCCCCATCCTCATCAGCATTAATAAATAAATCATGTTTTACATTCTAAATCTAAATGTTTGTTTTTATGAAAATATTGATGTCCTAGTCGATAAAATAAATTTAAAGAAAAAAAATTGTTTATTTAATTTTTTAAAACTGAGATCACATCAGATTAAGCCAGGTACAAAAAGGAAATAATTGTACACTGTAAATTGCATGTACAGTGCACGTTGACTTCCAGTGTTTACTGTACATAAATAATTGTACAGAATGCTGATTTACGAAGCAGTTTTTAAGATAAAAAAAAGGTCAATGATTTTAGATTTTAAAACCACACGTAAGCATTACAGTCAACTTTAGTTCTATGTATCTATTCTCCACAAGCTCTGAGTACATGTTCGTAGCCTAAACAAAAGTAGAATTATATTGAATCGTAATAACTGTTTAAAAGAAAGAAAAGATTTTATGAGAGAATAGAAAAAAAAGAGTATGAAGTGATAATCAGTAAAATGCAAGAACAGGAGAGGAGGTATAAAGAGTGTAGACCAGTAATAAACAGATAGGATAGGTAATATAGAGGAGTATAAATTGTAGAATATGTAGTATAGAGGAGTATAAATTGTAGAATATGTAGTATAGAGGAGTATAAAAGGTAGAATATGTAGTATAGAGGAGCATAAAAGGTAGAATAGGTAGTATGGAGGAGTATAAATTGTAGAATATGTAGTATAGAGGAGTATAAATTGTAGAATAGGAAGTATAGAGGAGTATAAATTGTAGAATATGTAGTATAGAGGAGTATAAATTGTAGAATAGGAAGTATAGAGGAGTATAAATTGTAGAATATGTAGTATAGAGGAGTATAAATTGTAGAATAGGAAGTATAGAGGAGTATAAATTGTAGAATATGAAGTATAGAGGAGTATAAATTGTAGAATATGTAGTATAGAGGAGTATAAAAGGTAGAATAGGAAGTATAGAGGAGTATAAAAGGTAGAATATGTAGTATAGAGGAGTATAAAAGGTAGAATAGGAAGTATAGAGGAGTATAAATTGTAGAATAGGAAGTATAGAGGAGTATAAAAGGTAGAATATGTAGTATAGAGGAGTATAAAAGGTAGAATAGGTAGTATGGAGGAGTATAAAAGGTAAAATAGGTAGTATGGAGGAGTATAAAAGGTAAAATAGGTAGTATGGAGGAGTATAAAAGGTAGAATAGGTAGTATAGAGGAGTATAAAATGTAGAATAGGTAGTATGGAGGAGTATAAAAGGTAGAATAGGTAGTATGGAGTATAAAAGGTAGAATAGGTAGTATAGAGGAGTATAAAAGATAGAATAGGTAGTATACAGGAGTAAAAAAAGTTAGAATAGAAAGTATAGAGGAGTATAAAAGGTAGAATAGGGTATGGAGGAGTATAAATTGTAGAATAGGAAGTATACAGAAGTATAAATGGTAGAATAGGAAGTATGGAGGAGTATAAATTGTAGAATAAGAAGTATGGAGGAGTATACATTGTAGAAGAGGAAGTATAGAGGAGTATAAATGGTAGATAGAAAGTATAGAGAAGTATAAAAGGCAGAATAGGTAGTATAGAGGAGTATAAATGGTAGAATGGGAAGTATAGAGGAGTATAAAATGTAGAATAGGAAGTATAGAGGAGTATAAAATGTAGAATAGGTAGTATGGAGGTGTATAAAAGGTAGAATAGGAAGTATGGAGGAGTATAAAAGGTAGAATAGGAAGTATGGAGGAGTATAAAAGGTAGAATAGGACGTATAGAGGAGTATAAATGGTAGAACAGGAAGTATAGAGAAGTATGAATGGTAGAATAGGAAGTATTGAGAAGTATAAAAGGTAGAAGAGGAAGTAAAGAAGCGTATAAAAGGTAAAAAAGGAAGTAAAAAGTATAAAAACTAGAATAGGAAGTATAGAGGAGTATGAAAGGTAGAATAGGAAGTATAGAGGAGTATAAATTGTAGATAAGGAAGTATAGAGAAGTATAAAAGGTAGAATTGGAAGTAAGAAAAGTTAACATTAGTGAGATATCCCTAACGTTCTATTCATAATTTTAAACAAAATATTAGCAATTTCAAACTGCTGATCGATATTACGAACACAATATTAGTGTTTCATCTAACAGTGTATAATGAAAAAGTACAACGGGTGAATTTTGCTCAAAATTAACGTAATGAAAAAGAATGTAAGCACAATTTCAAGTCACCATGCAAAGATGGCAATGCCCGATTTACAACGGTACCCTTAAATCTAAATAAAAATATTGAATATAAAAATATTTTTTTGCTTCGAATTATTAACAAGAAATACGCAAGTCACTTTCGCAGAGAAACCGCAATAGAAAATAAAAGTATACGTCTTTGCATGGAGGATCACTTGAAATTGCAAATTTAAAAAATCTATTTTCCAATCAAATTAAATGAATGTCAATCCCGGCTCTCCCAAAGAGTATAAAGGGGAGGGGTGTTACATAATTGCTGAGAAATCAACAATATAACACATACCTAATACCTAGGTGTTAAATATGTATACACTGACCGACAAAGCTGGCATGAGCGTAATTAAACCTATTCCTACAACTCACGGG